CCCTGGGTTCGATTCCTCAGCACTACATAAGCAAAAAGAAAAAAGCCGGAAGTGGCACTGTGGCTCAAGTGGTAGAGCGCTAGCCTTGAGCTGAAGTGCTGAGGGACAGCGCCCAGGCCCAGAGTTCAGGCCCCACGACCGGATCCCCCCCCCCCCCCAAAAAAAAAAAAAGATGAGCAGAGCTCTGGCTGCTCTATGTGGGAGTGCATGGCTTGGGGTGCATTGTATAGGGGTTAATAAGGCATCTCTAGGAGGGAGATATGTGACTCTCAAGATTACTGGGAAATATGTGAACATCTTTTTAGCCCTGCCTATCTAGAGTCATTCTATTGTTTACATGCAACTCTTCCAAGGACAATGGGTCATGAGGTGGTGCTCAGGTGCCTACTTGCGCAACTGCTCAAGGCCATGGTGATGAGATGTCTAGGACTAACTATGAGACAGCTCAAGGCTGTGGTGAGGGATATAGAACCTCTATGAGAGAAAGCCTATGCCCCAATTACCTGGCCAGACTCTTCTTTACCCTCAGTAGTGCCCTTCAGATGAGCAGCATATGGAAGACACAGCAAAGTGTGGTATAGATGGAATCGTCTTGCCAGTGTGAGCAAAGAAGGCAAGGCAGGGCAATATGTTAGCGTGGAACTGGTTAGCCTGCTTTCAACTCAAAAACATAATTGAATTTTATGAATTGGCAGTTGACATACACAATGACCTAGAGACAAATTCAGGTTTTAGACAAAGAGTAGGAAGTTTTAGACTGCTGTTCATTGGAAACAAACATTGGAGACTGGCTGCTTATATTTAAATCCAGATTCTTTTACACTTTGGAAAATGCCTTGACCAGTCCAAGCTTCAGTTTACTTGTCTATAAAATGGAGATACAGCCACTTTCTCTCATAATTGTTATGAGGAACAGAGATATTTATGTAAATAAATCATCTATCTATGATCTATGTATCATCTATGTCTGGCATGAAAATCTGATCAATAAACATTTATCATTTCCAAGTAAGCATTTGTTATTCAGTAAAGAATGGATGGACTCCTCTTTGAGGCTTCTTTCCAGATAGTCTCCATACTTTCTTTTATGGCTTTCCTTTCACTTTCAAATAAATTTACTCTGCTTAACTTTAAGAAAAAAAAAAAAGGAAAAGAAAAAATCCAGAACCTGAATTATGACAAGATAATCCCTATGTATAACACCTTAATAATTACAATAAAATTATATTTTAAAAAAGGAATTAATGTGTGATTGAATGAATGGGTGAATAAATGGCTACTGGTCTGGATTTGACTCCTCATGATGATTTCTGTTCCTGATTTTCAGGCTGAACCCACCTGACCTTGTTTGCACAGATGACAATTTAACTAGGTATGTGGGGAAGGATGCTATGAAATAAAAAGGCTTCAGCTAAGGAGAGGATTGCTGAGTACTGAAGACAGGGAGACCCTGGAACAAAGCCTGGCCACCTGAGATCTGGCAGAGGACCTCCCCCACACCCAGACAAGGTTTTCATACAATTGTTACCTCTCTTTCTATCTCTTCAAGACAGGCCAACTTTGATTTGATATGATTCCCAAACATAGTTTCTGGATTCACCCTGGCAGGACTGTGGCTGTTGTTTTAATTCTGAGTAGTTGGGATAAGTTCTAAAAATTTTACTATGAAAGACAAAGCAACTGATATTGGTATAGGAGAGTTTTGGCCCTTAGGTCCCCTCCTCGTCTGCACAGAGGATTATCAGAGCCAAGTCTGTGGGACATAGGCCAGACTTAACTGCCTCCTTACACTGCACTCTTCCCAACCTACAGAACAGAGTGTGGAGTTCCAGGCTCTCTCTGAAGGCAACTGCTTCGCAATTAGGTCCTTTCTCTTCCATTGGCATATGGTATGACCTTCAGAAAGTCCCTTCCCTTCTCTGCTATTCAAATTTTCCATCTGCAAAATAAGGGAGATTACTTTTACAGTCACTCAGATTCCTCTTGTCTGCAAAAGTAGCCGAATTCTGTAAATTATGAATATGGGGTTGGAAATCTGTCCTTATTGTTTTCTGTGTGGACTTGAGCAAACTAATTCAATTCTCTTGATTATAAAGTAGGAATGATTAAAAATCTGCTCCTTAGGACTATCATGAGTTTTAAATCATGTATGGTAGGAAAACTAAGCCACAGGGTATCACCCATGTTTAGACTCAGAAAAATGAGCTCATATCCAATTCTTACAACTCTTCCTGATTCCAATCAGTCACATTGAGTGAGTTGTGGCCTCAAAGAGATATAATGCCTGTCCATCTGCAAGCCAGTGTGTGTGTAGAGCTTGACCTCCTTCAGGAAGGTTTGTCCAAAGAATCCTCTCTAGCTCCTCATTGAACAAAAGCTTTCAGTCCAGCCGTCTCCTCATTGCAGCATGCCACAGTCCTTGTGGTTTCTACCTCTTTATTGCTTCTTTAGCAATTCTATTTTGAGAGTCAACAGCTGAATCCTCCTACCCAGAAGATGATTAATTAGGCTTTCAGAATGCAAGCAGTCTATTGAAGAAATGCAGGCTTGCAGGACTTTCCTTTGACCTGGAGCAAGGATTCCCAATTTCTTTGGGTCCCTGCACCAGGATTCTGGGCTTTGAACTCAGATCATATTTGTTCTGGAACTCTGCCCCTTCTCTCCTCCCTCCTTGGACACATGGTGTTTGTTTCATAGTTAGACACTCTGCTAAGTGATGCAGGAAGTAGGGCCCTAGGGAGGCAGATACAGCCTAGCAAAGCAGATAACCAAATGGAGTCTCTGCATGCTTCTGAGGCCTGGTTCAGGGTCAGAGATAATCAGAAATGCCAGGCTTATCTCTACTGCCTGAGTTCTTCCAGAGAAATGCTCTGGGCCAGCCAGCCCACCTCAGTCCCTGATCTCCAGGCAGTTGGTCAGCATCTATCTCCAGGCAGAGTAAACACTGAGCTGGCACAGCTATAGTGGCTACAGGATGGGAACTCTGTGCCCTACTCCAGCACTGCATGATCCTTGCACCAGAGGCCAGCAGCGAGCATCAGATTACACCCAGATATTTGTGGTAAGGACAGCTCCAAGTTAATATACTTTGAAGTAGGAACAATTGCTAAGGTCACAGGAACAAAGGGCCCCTGATGATAATTGTTCCTCAGACCCAAGGTCTTCTTGGACCAAGAAACTCAGCAGAAAGCTTTGGTGGATGGGGTGGTGAGTTTGGACTTTCCCAATGAATGTAGGGCAGAATGGGCAGACAATGCGCAGTGTTTTGTTGGTTGGTTGGTTGGTTGGTTTTTTGAGACATGTTCTTACCATGTAGTCCATGCTGATTGACCTCTAGTTGTAATCCTCCTGCCTTAGTCTCTCAAGTTCTGTGATCACATATGTGTCACCATGCCTATTTGTGTCTGTTTTAAATCACAGTGATAGAATTAACCAACGCTCTTTCAAGCTTACTCTACACCATTCTGCCAATAACACCCAGAAATGCTCCAAGAAATGGTTTAGACTTCTTTCTGGACTACTTGGGGGCTCCTGTCCTCATAAAGGGAGGGCAAGGAGGCTTATGTTTAAGCACATTTACATTGAAAGGATCTATCACCAATAGGTCACTGATGGCTTAAAATAGTGAAACCATTCAATGGTGCATTTGGATGTCAAATTTCCAGATCAGACCAGGTGCTGGTGGCTCATACCTGAAATCCTAGCTACTCAAGAGGCTGAGATTTCAGGATAATAGTTTGAAACTCTTATCTCTAATTAACTGGCAAAAATCCAGAAGTAGAGCTGTGGCTTAAGTGTAGAGTGCTGGCCTTGAGCAAAAATTTTGCTCAGGGACAGTGCCCAGGCCCCAAGTTCAAGCCCTAGGATTGGCACAAAAAAATTATCAGAGTTGTACCTTGATTGCTTTTATTCAGAAGTGAGAGGCACCAGCACCCCAGCCTTTATGCCTCACTGACCTCAGGTTGTTGACACATTTCCCTCTATGGGTCCTGCTTTCTCCCCATGAGGGCTGGATGAAGAAGGAATCAGACTGCTCTGTGGCATCAATGGAACTCAAAGGTGACCCATCTCTTATTATGTCTGCTTTGTATGTTGGTGCTTCCGTGAATATTTCATTCCAACTGAAGGGTTGTTGAGTCTGTGAGACTCTTACCTACAATTAACCAGCAAAAATCCAAAACAGGAGACACAAACTTTGTTGCTCTCAAGGGCCCTATGCATGGTACCTGATAGCTGTATTGTCATTACTGGGGGATCAGGAGGTTACCTACAAATGTCCTCCACAGGCTTTGCAAGGAACATGCATGACCTATGGGGCAGCATTTGGCAAATAGCCTAAGCTGTTGCCTCTCTGTTCTATCTTTAGGTATAAGTGACTAGTGAGTTGAGGCATGGGGAGGGGGACCTACAGACTTCCCCCACAAGCAGTCTAAACCCATATTTCAGGCATCAGCCAAAATAAGACCCCAAAAGTATTTGTTTTGCAGGAATATCAAAAGTTTCATTATGGTTAAGCAGTCTTATGTTTCTTTCCACTGGTCATGCTTTTCATTGTAAATTAGATTTACGTGTGGCAGGTAGGAGCCAATCTTTTCAGTGCTCAGGGTTGCTAAAGCCCCTTGAAGAGTATAGTTCACAGGTATATACTTAAAGGATACTTCCCCCTTCCCCCACACCCCCAACTTTAACATAAGCTACATGAAGTTTGGCCTGCCCTATGCAGATTCTTAAAATACTTAACTATCAGCAGCTCTCAAAGAGGAATGTTGTAAAAGTCCCACCCCTCCCCCCCAAGGGCAGAACTCAGCCTGTCACTCCTGGCCTGTGGTTGAGTAGGAGATAGGCAAGCAGAGGCACCAAGAGGACCTGGCTGTCTGGGATCCCAAACTGGATGGGTTGGTGCTGTGGGCAAGGTGGGTAGCTATCAAGGACAATGAACTTCCACACACACCCATCTAAGTGAAACAGCGGGGTCTCATCCTTGCCAAGCCTGAACTGAGATGTCAGGAGCCTCTAAGGAAGATTTGGGACCTCGGCGTCTGCCAGTGTTGGGCAAGGCCTGCTTAACCACCATGGATAAAAAGCTTAATATGTTGAATGAGAAGGTGGACAGACTCTTGAATTTCCAAGAAGATGTCACAGAGAAACTGCAGTATGTGTGCCAAGGGATGGGCCACCTAGAACAAGGTCTGCACCGGCTGGAGTCCTCCCAAGGGGTCAACAGTGCTCCTCCAGCTGATGGCCAGACTGACTGGCCTGAGGTCCTGGAGCTGGTAAGGGGTATACAGCAAGATAGTGCCCAGCATGGCACTAGACTTGAAGCCTTCTTCAGGATGGTGGTGGCTGTAGAGAGGGCCATGGCATTCATGCGGGCCACATTCCAGAACTTGAAGGTGGTGGATTTCGTTATGCAAGGCAATGTCCCCTGGAGAAAAGGCAGCCTGAGTGACGGTCCCGAGGAGGTTGGTGCTTACTTCCCTGCCCTGGTTGGTAAAGAGGCCCTAAGCCCTGGTGGGGACACTGCAGGATTGTTCTCCCTTGTACCTCCTGTGTGTCCCATTAATGGGGAAAAGGAGGGTCTCAACTCTTGTTGGTGTCCTGTGTAGCCCAGTGGATTTCCAGAGAGCACACTGTCTGCTGTTCCCAAAGGAAAGGAAAGGTGTCCTGGCTGAGATTATGGGCCTTGGGCAGCTTCTAGATGTGGAGGATAATACCTGGAGGTTACGGAGAGAATGTCTTCATTGTCTCCAGAACTTCTTTTCTCTTCTTCTTTTCTGCTTCTCCCTACTTAAGGTGGGAGACAGGTGTCAGTGCTAGTTTCCTTTGATAGCTCCTGTCCAGAAACTCAACCCCCCCCTTCCTGTCCTTAATCTTGCCCCAGAGTGGGTGGAATGGGAGACAGGCAATCTGCAGCTGCCTATGGGGAGAGGAGTGTTGACAGCGACCCATAGAGGACAACCAGCTGGGACTGGAGCCTGGAGGTGGAGGTGGCATTTCTGAGAGAGACTTTCCAAAGGTTGCATAATCCAGCCTGATGGCTAATGGAAGCTTGGACACTGGTGGGAGTGGGGGAGGTGTATAGAGGGGACACTATGTTTGGGAACAACTGAGACCACACTCAGACAGCCTGGAGCCACCATTCCCTGTTATTGCCGCCAGCCTGTGGCAAGGATGAGCTGGGGTCTAAAGAGATTTGTGCCTGGCCCAGTGCAGCCAGGCTGAATCTAGCCTAGCTACCCATTCCCCAACCTCACAAGGCAGACCTCTCCCCATACAACTCTTTGCTGTCTGACCTGCAGCTCCAAGTCTAGCCCGCAGGATAAAAGGGACCCCTCCCCTTGCAGTGGCTCTTGCCCCTTGATACCAACGCAGTCCTTATAAAAAGAAAATTAACTGTGTTAATGTAAAAAAAAACCATCAATAACTTTAGAAGGAAAATTAAATTAAGTTTATTTGTACATAAACTTGTGATACAGGAGGGCAGCACCAAAAAGGAAAGAAACCCAAAGTGGGAGCCACATCTCCTGTCTGTTTTATCTGAGGTCCCCAGCAGCACCAGCACCAGTTTCTCTGCACCCTTTTCAGACCTAGGATCTGTGTCTATGAGCCAATTACTATAATGTCACCCTGTTTTCTGTTTTGTTTTCATGCAAACATTGTGCCCATTATTCTGGTCTGGGTGATAAGGAACTATTGCTTTGTATTTATATTCAAAAAGCTTCCTCTTCGAGTTTCTTAAAGTTGCAAAGTACTGTATTTGGACGATGTCTTATTTTGTTAGCTAGTCCTCTTAATATTTTTTCTCACTTTTAGCTCTGATAAATAACAAATCAGTGGATATCCACAGAAGTATGTCTTTGAAACCAAATGTGAGTTTATCTGTATGATATACTCTAAATAGTAAGTGCCAGGCCAAAGGGTAAATTTATATCAATAATGCCTAACTAGCCTTCAAAAAAATAATTCCAGAGGCTAGGAGTTCTTCATAAGCTAAGCAGTGGGTTCTGCATGTAAGAACTGAACTAACCCCAGATAGAAAATATTCAAGGGTGCTGGGTAACAGTGGCACAAGCCTTACTCAAGAGGCTGAGATTCGAGGCTGAGATTTTCCCAAGCAGGAAAGTCTGTGAGAATCTTATCTCCAATTAACCACAAATCTAGAAGTGGAAGTGTGGCTCAACTGGTAGAGTACTACCTTCAGGTGAAAAAAAAAAAATTGAAAGGACAAGCCCTGAGTTCAAGCCCCAGTAATGGCACAAGAAAAAGGGAAGAAGAAATAAAGAAATATTCAGGAGAAAACAATTGCATTTGTGCTTAACACATGCCCATTTTTTCCTTATGATTCATTCCTAAATAATACAGTATAACACAGCACTTGCATTGTAGAATGGAAAAATATGAGATAAAGAGATGATTTAGAATATACAGGGGTTACACATTGTTATCCAGTAAGAAAACAGAGAAGCCACATTTTGAGAGGTCAAATTGAGTCTTTATTGGAAAGCTAGTGAATGCAGGCGGACTTCTATCATAAAGGCCTGTAGCCCCTTGATTACACTTAACACTGTCAGAAAACTGAGCCATGAGAGCAAGAGAAGAAAGATAGAGCATAAAAATACCGACAAACCAGATTAGCAATTATGAGGAGCTGAAGTGGGACACCATGTTGACCAGGAGAAGCACCAAGAAACAGGACAGAGAGATAACAGACAGGAGACACATGGCATGGTGTATCCATGCTTGAGCTTGTCCAGGCCTAATGAGGGTCAGGTCAGGGGGCAGGATCACAGGGAGTTTGAGAGTTCATGACCCAAGACTGGCAGGTCCAGTAACCTGTTGTCCAAGTCCCAGCCCTTACCTCTAGAAATTCAGACATGCCCGTCACCTGGGAGGTAGGGCTTCTCTGCCTCCACCGAGGCGGAGGTGACAAGATGGTGCCAGTTACACTCAATACCCTATCATCTACCACTTGGCCAACGTGGCGCTGGTTAGATTTCTTCAACATAAGCTATAAATCTATACCGCATTGTTTCTCATCTGAGACTGGAGCATTTGTAGATTTTGGTAACTGAAGGGCTCCTAGAACTAATCTCAAGTTTTCCAAGTGTTTAAGTTTTTTGTGTTGAAATAGTTAAAAACACAAATGTAAGCTCTCATTTCTTTTTTATTCATCAGACTGGAAAAGAATGAAAATGTTGAATAATATTCTTTCCTTTGTGCCAGTAGTAGGGCTTGAACTCAGGACCTTAGACACTTGTCTAGCTTTTTCCACTTAAAGCTGGTACTCTACTGTTAGAGCTACATCTCCACTTTTGGCTTTTTGACAGTTAGTTTGAGAGACAAGAATCTCTCAAATTTGTCTGCCCAGGCTGGATTTGAACCAGGATCCTTAGATCTCAGCCTCATATATAGGGTTAGAGGCTTTATATAGACACTGAACAGGATAATATGCTTTTTAGTCAATGTAAAGGCAGCAAACATTCACAGATACATTGGAATGACTGCTATGCCCAGGGGTAGAGTAGTTGTTTAGCACATATAATGCCCTGGGTTTGATCTCTAGCACCAATAAACAAAAACAAAAAAGGCCACACCCACCCAACACAACAGCATCAACAACACCAACAAATAAAAGCATTTTAGCATTTATGTCTGCAAAATAAACATGTGGGTTTTTTCCCTCAGTACTGGAGTTTGAACTCAGGGCTAGACAAGTGCTCTGACTACTGAAGCTATACCTACTCTTTTTTTGTGTGTGTGCCAGTACTGGGGCCTGATATCAGAACCTCAAGCTCTTACTTGGATTGCTTGCTCATGGATGGCATGCTATCACTTGAGCCATGCTTCCTGGCATTGTGCTGGTTAGTTGGAGATGGTGTCTCACAGACTTTTCTACTTAGGCTGGCTTCAAATCTTGACCATCTAGGTCTCAGCCTTTTGAGTAGCTATGATACAGATATGAATCATTAGCACCTGGCATATACCTAACCCTTTATTATGTGCTTATTTTTCAGATAGGGGCCATTCACAGACCTTGATTCTTCTACTTATACCTCTTACTTAGATGAGATAATATCCATGAGCCATATTACTTCAGTAAGAAAGACTATTTAAAATATATAATCAAGCTCTAATTCCAACTACTCAGGAGGCAGAGATCAGGAAATTGCTATTCAGGTTCCCTGTGACAAAAAAAATCCAATCTCAACAAATAAGCCCAGCATGATGGTCCATCTCTGTAATCCAGATTGTGAAGGAGTCTATACGTAGGCATACAGATCCAAGGTTGGCCCTGGGAAAAAATGGGAGATTAGATCTTAAAAAATATTAAAGCCGAGAGGTCTAGGACATGGCTTGAATGCTAGAGCTCTCATACTGGCCCTGAGTTTGAACCACAGTACCCCCACAAAAACCCCATTAACCATAACTAGATCTAGAAATAATGGTAACTTCTAATATTACTTGAAGTTAGTATTCAAATGTCTGTGATCAGCTTATACTTTAAAAAAATGGGGAGGAGAGATGGTGGTACTCAGGGCCTTCCACTTGGTAGGCAAACACTCAATTACTTAAGCTATACTTCCAGCCCTTTTATCCTTTATTTTTTTGCTGGTGGCTGGCCTTCGATGCAATCCTACCTCTGAATCCTTCCTAACTGTGCCACCATACCTGGCTTGTTGTTTGAAATAGTCTTATCAGATTTTGTTCTGACTGGCCTCAAATTGTGATCTTCCCATCTCTCTATCTCTGTCTCCTCCATGACTAGCATTGCATTTTTGTACTACTACAATTTGAATTCAGCCTTCCACTTAGTAGGAAGTACTTTAAAGTGAGACTTTAAAGTCTACTTTAATTTTTTAAAGTTTATTTATTTAAATATGATCCAAATAAAGCACTTGGTTATATGTCTATTAAAGCTTACTCTGCTATTGAACTAAGTCCTCTATTGATAAAGTATTTAAGCTAGCTTAAATACTGGTGGCTCACACCTATAATCCTAGCTACTCAGGAAGCTGAGATATGAGAGTCACATTTTTAAGCCAGCCCAGTCAGGAAAGTCTGAATTTTTTTTTTTTTTTTTTGTCGGTGGTGGGGCATGAACTCTGGGCTTGGGCGCTGTCCCTCAGCTCTTCAGCTCAAGGCAAGCACTCTATACTTGAGCCACAGTGCCACTTCAAGTTTTCTGGTGGTTAATTGGAGATAAGAGACTCATGGACTTTCCTGAATGGGCTGGCTTTGAACCGAGATCCTCAGATCTCAGCCTCCGGAGTAGCTAGAATTACAGGCATGAGCCACCAGTGCTGGTTTCTGTGAGATTCTTATCTTCAATAAATTGCTCAGAAAAAGCCAGAAGTGGCACTGTGGCTCAAGTAATAGAGTGCTAGCCTTGAGCAAAAAGAATCTCAGGGACAGTGCCCAGGCCCAGAATTCAAGCACCAGGACAAGCAAGAAAAGAAAAGAAAAGAAATTAATACATATATGCTTTTTTGACCTTTAGTTTTAAGACTTCCATGTTGCCCAGGATAGCTTTGAACTAACCATCCTCTTGCTTCAGACTACTGAGGCGCCACCATATTCAGCTAAAATTTTTAAAATCTTTTTATTAGGAAGATTATAAACAATAAGAGGTAGACAGATATATTATTATAGGCTTTGCTTACATTTTATCTAAAGTTTATACATCATTTATAGGTTTAAAAACTTTTGTTGTTTTTTTTTTGGGTCCGGTCGTGGGGCCTGAACTCTGGGCCTGGGCGCTGTCCCTCAGCTCTTCAGCTCAAGGCTAGCGCTCTACCACTTGAGCCACAGCGCCACTTCTGGCTTTTTTCTTTTTGCTTAGGTGGTGCTGAGGAATCGAACCCAGGGCCTCATGCATGCAAGGCAAGCACTCTACCACTGAGCCACCTTCCCAGCCCCAAACTTTTGCATTTTTATGAACTATTTATTTATGCTCTTGTCCTTGTTTTCTATCTTTATTGACTTATAAGAGTTCTGTATAGGGGCTGGGAAGATGGCTCAGTGGTAGAGCGCTTGCCTTGCATGCCTGAGGCCCTGGGTTCGATTCCTCAGCACCACATAAAGCAAAATGAAAAAAGCCAGAAGTGGTGCTGTGGCTCAAGTGGTAGAGTGCTAGCCTTGGTCTGAAGAGCTGAGTGACAGCGCCCAGGCCCAGAGTTCAGGCCCCACGACCTGACCCAAAAAAAAAAAAAAAAAAGAGTTCTGTATATTAGTGCAATTATCTGTCATACATTTTTCAAATATTTAGACATTCTAGATGGCAGATGGCCCAGAGCTTTCTCTGTCTGAGATCTTGCAATATTTCTTATCTGCATTACTCCAATGCACTGGTACTTGATTGACATCTCTGGTCCTACCTGCTGTACCTACATGCTGGTTTGGATCTAGATTCCCAGTGCTATTGTTAAACTGCAGCCTTTACTTCCCAGGGCTAGTCTTAGAGAAGAGATTTAGTAAGTGCCTAGTGAATTAAGATACAACTGCAGCGCTTGAACGGTTTTTCAGTTGTGAAAACTGCATTACAGACTTTCTGGAGATACTCTTTCTGTAGTACACTTTCTGGAGATACTCTATGTTCACTAAAGAGAGTAGGGGTCTAGCTCGGTGCTAGTGGCTATGCTTGGAATCCTAGATACTTAGGAGAGTGAGATATAAGAATGGGTAGAGGTTTGAAACCAGCCCAGGAAGAAAAGTCCAAGAGTCTTTTATTTCCAATTAACTAGCAAAAGGCCAGAAGTAGAGGTTGCCTTAAGGCATTCTGCCTTGAAAAAACCAAGTGAGAGAACAAGACTCTGAGTTTAAGCCTCAGTTATGAGAGAGAGGGCGAGAGAGAGAGAGAGAGAGAGAGAGAAAGAGAATGAGAATGAGATTTGAAATGTGTGCGCTGACCTTGTGAAGGTTCTGCTTGGACTGGCTCAGTGAATTTGGTTTGGTTGTAACAGTGAATTTGATTATTACTAGAAACCAGGTGCTGTCTTAGAAAAAACAGCTTCAGGCTCAGCCAGGGCTGTGTCTGAGTCACAGTCAAGCTGTTCAGTGCCCCAGCCCTTTAGAATGGGATTTGAGGTCTCTTCAGCTTCTACAAGGAAGAGAACAGAAGGTTGCTGAAGACAGAGCCTGGCTGTGGGGCAGTGGAGGCCCATGTGAATGGGAGGCGTGTGATTGCCTACACTAAAATCAGAAAGGGAGAGAACACTCTGAGCCCAATAAGGTCTGCCAAAGGACAGTGTGTACGAATCCCTTCCTACCAGTGGGGGGGTTGGTGATAATGCCTCCAGTTCACCAACTATGCGGTTGGCAAGACAGGGGTGGCAGGACAGGGAGAAAAGGGAGCTATCTGCTAAGCAGAGGGACTAGGCCACACTGATGACATTGATGATATAATAACAGCTGCTAGTATTTTTTAAATGTTTGCATATACCAGGTACTGGGCTGTGCTCTCCATGTATTATCTCCTTACCAAAAAAAGGGCAAAATTTGGTGTCCTGGAATGCCTAGGGGTGAGTAGAACTGAGAGACATGGGCACAGTGGAGGGAACCCCCAGCCTTGGGGCAGGGAAACTGAGGAGGGGTACGGGATGCAGTTAGGGGAAGCTGCTCTAACACTTTACTGCTTGGGCCTAGATTTGCCAGCTGTCCCCAATATTGTTTCAAGACAAGCTGGAACTTCAAATTCCTTTTAGTCAAATGTATTAAGGCATAATAATAAAATAATTATTTTGTTAAAGCATAATTTTTTTTTATTTTTTGGGGGGGTCTCCAGTCATGGGGCCTGAACTCTGAGCCTGGGCACTGTCCCTCAGCTCTTCAGCTCAAGGCTAGCGCTCTACCACTTGAGCCACAGTGTCACTTCCGGCTTTTTTCTTTTTTCTTATGTGGTGCTGAGGAATGGAACCCAGGGCCTCATGCATGCAAGGCAAGTGCTCTACCACTGAGCTACCTTCCCAGCCCCAAGCATTATTTTTTGGTTGGTTGTGGGACTTGAACACTGGGCCTGGGCACTGTCCCAGAGCAATTCAGCTCGAGGTGAGCACTCTACCACTTGAGCCACCACTTCTGGTTTTCTGGTGGAGATAAGAGTCTCAATGGTGCTTCTGCCTGGGCTGGCTTTGAACCTTGATCCTCACATCTCAGCCTCCTGAGTAGCTAGAATTACAGGCCTGAGCCACCAGTGCCCAGCTCTAAAGCATAATTTATACATACAAACTATAAACAATTTTAAGTATATAGTTCAACAAACATATATACCCCAGTAACAACCACCACAATCAAAATACAGAACAATTTTATCTCCCCTGCCCACCAAAAGGATCATATAATTTTTTTTTTAAATCTGGATTTTTAAATGTTGTAAACTAAAAATTTTAAGTGCTATATGAACCAAAGAGATGTGTCCTGATCTGTTTTTGGCCTCTGGATTCCCAGTTAAGAACATCTGTGGCCAAGAGAAGAGAAAGTCCCTTTACTGGTAAGTGTCTTGTGTGTGGGTGCTTGAACCAGAGTGGCTGCTATTAGTCATACCAGGAGCCATATTAGGGACTTCACCAGTGAGACTCAGAACCCCTGGAAGCAGCCAGGGGGAGCAGAAGGAGGTTGAGACAGGTAGTTAGATTTGCTTGTGAATTCACTGCTGGATGTGACCAGCATGCTGAGTGCTTGGAATGATGTCAGGCAGAAATCATGCCACATTAGTGCTGGTCTTGGACACAGTATTTGAATTTAAGGGATAGATGCTGAGTGCCCCTGTGGGCTGACACTTACTGAGTACCTACTATGTGCTGCTCATATCTCCTACCCACCCTTTGAAGCAGATATTATCATTCCAATTTTACAGAAGATGGTGTGAGATGCAGAGAACTAACAAGTTTGGCCAAGTGGTGAAGATGGGATCCAAACTTAGCAAGGCAGCTGGTTGCCAGTGGCTCAAGCCTGTAATCCTAGCTACTTAGGAAGCTGAGATCTAAGGATCTCATTTCTTTTTTTTTTGGTTGGTCGTGGGGCTTGAACTCTGGGTCTGGGCGCTGTCCCTCAGCTCTTCAGCTCAAGGCGAGCGCTCTACCACTTGAGCTACAGCGACACTTCTGGTTTTCTGGTGGTTTATTGGAGATAGGAGTCTCACGGTCTTTCCTGCCCGGGCTGGCTTTGAACCGTGATCCTCAGATCTCAGCCTCCTGAGTAGCTAGGATTACAGGCGAGAGCCACCAGCGCCCGGCCTGAGGATCTCATTTCAAAGCCAGCCCAGGCAGGAAAGTCCATGAGTCTCTTATCTCCAATTAACCACCAGAAAACTGGAAATGGCGCTGTGGCTCAAGTGGTAGAGTGCTTGCCTTGAGCTGAAGAGCGGAGGGACAGTGCCTAAGTCCAGAGTTCAAGCCCTATGACTGACAAAAAACCAACAACAACAACAACAACAAAAGCAACTAGCAAGACTTTTTGGAATCTATGCTCCTAGCTACACTGCTCCACTGGAAAAGTGTTAGTGGGGGATCCTCCCACTCAGGCTCCAGGCAAACATTACTCATTGATGTGATACACCATTCCTGCAAAGCACAGACATTTTGACTAAAGAATCCTGCATAAACCGACATTGTAGTAACTGTGAATATACACACCTATAAACTGCTGTACTGTTAGCTGCATCCTCTACTTTCCAGAGCTGGTACTGTAGGAGATGAGCTGATTGTGTTTGTTTGTTTGCCAATCCTGGGGCTTTAATTAAGGGCCTGGGCACTGTCCCTGAGCTTCTTTTGCTCAAGACTAGCACTCTACCACTTGAACCACTGTATATGTGGAACTGAGGAATCAAACCCAGGGCTTCATGCATGCTAGGCAAGCACTCTACTACTAAGCCACACTGAGCTGATATTTTAAGATGATTTTCAACCACTGGTCTTAGTCTTTGAGGTTAAGTCTATTTAGAAGCTTTGTCAGGGGCTGAGTCTGCCCCTCAACAGCAATGTAGCAAAACATTGGAAAGGACCTTGGTTCTGAGTTTGAAGCAGAACTCCTCTTCTTGTGAGTTTTATTTATGGCCTCAAGAAAGCCTCACTGTACATATTCCCCAATATAATAACAAATAATACCTATCTGCTACTCTTACTGTGAATGAATTACATGAAATAACCTATCTTTATGCTAAGTACCTGGTAGGCAACAAATGTCTGTGGCTGGAATGATGGAATTAACAATAATGATCATTGCTTTTATGGTTACTTTAGAACAAAGAACAAGTGGAAGAAAAGGGAGCAAAGCCAAAACACGTACTGAACACCAGAGGTGTGCAAGCAGACCTCAAGGGGCCTTGGGAAGGTGAGCAGACCATTTGCTCCTCTATATCATTTTAACAATGGTTTCACACTAAAACCCTAGCAATGTGATTTCTGGAAAACAATTGAAACTGCCTTTTTCTTTTCTCTTTCCTTTCCTTTTCTTTTCCTTCCTTCCTTCCATCCTTCCTTCCTTCCATCCTTTGCTCTTTCTTCTCCTTCTGCTTTTGGCGCTGGAACTGGGGCTTAAACTCAAAGCCTGAGTTTCTTTGCTCAAAGCTGGTGCAGTACCCCTGAGCATGTCTCCACTTTTGGCTTTTAACTGATTAATTGGAGATAAGCATCTCACAGACTTTTCTACCCAGACTGGCTTTGGACTGCCATCTTCAGATCTCAGTCTCCTGAGTGGCTATGATTACAGGTGTGAGTCACCAGTACCCAGCTCCCAGCTTTATATATATATATTTTTTTGGGGGGGGGGGGGTGGGGGGGTCCAGTTGTGGGACCTGAACTCTGGGCCTGGGCGCTGTCCCTCAGCTCTTCAGCTCAAGGCTAGCGCTCTACCACTTGAGCCACAGTGCCACTTCCGGCTTTTTTCTTTTTGCTTATGTGGTGCTGAGGAATCAAACCTAGGGCCTCAGGCATTCAAGGCAAGCGCTCTACCCCTGAGCCACCTTCCCAGCCCCAGCTTAATTTTTTTTTTTTTTTTTTTGTCGGTCATGGGGCTTAAACTCTGGGCCTGGACGCTGTCCCTCAGCTCTTCAGCTCAAGGCTAGCACTCTACCACTTGAGCCACAGCTCCTACTTCCAGATTTTTCTGCTTATGTGGTGCTGAGGAATCGAACCCAGGGCCTCATGCATGCGAGGCAAGTGCTCTACCACTGAGCCACCTTCCCAGCCCCCCAGCTTAATATTATTAAAATGGCTCAGCAATTGCTTTTTTCTTTATTTTAGTTCTCATATATTTGCTAATTGTCTGTGTGTTGGTGTGCGTGCACGCACGTGCATGTACACACGCGCTTTGAACTCACTTGGCTTTCTTGCTTATGACTGGCACTCTACTATCTGAACCATGCCTCCAGTCCAGCATTTTTCTGATTAATTGTAGATGAAGGATCACAGACTTTTCTTTTCAGGCTTGCTTCAAACTGTGATCCTCTGATATCAGCCTCCTGAGAGACTTAAGATTAGAGGCCAGTGCCCAGCTTTCAATTGCTATGTTTTTAAAACACTATACCCTACAAAACATTCAAGTTTGTTTGCTTTAAATGTTTTTTGGTTGGCTTCAAAGTTCAATTTTCTTTTTAAATTTTGCATAGTATTTATATGGTCTCAAAGTCAAATCAATAAAACAGCTAGTGAAGAAAACTCTAGCTCGCATTGCTTCCTCTTTTTTATTCTCTAGTCTCAACTGTAGTTATCTCAAAAGCTTTTGTCTTATCTTTTCTTTGAGGTTCCATCTATTTAGTCCATCTTTGCACCCATTGCATGCACGTGTAAACAAACACATTCCCCTGTAGATAAACTTCCTTATGTACTGTTCTCTACTTTATTTTAGTTTTCAACTTCCAGTATATCTTGAGATCACTTTTTATGGTTGTGCAATACTCCATTGTGTGGCTGTTCCATGGTTCAGAAGATCTCTGGGGGTCCTTCGGGTCGTTTCCAGTCTTTGGCTATTGTAAACATGGTGCCTTGTGGCTTTGCCTGTTTTCCTATAGAGAGCCACAAAGCTGACCTGCCAGAAGGGACAGCGGAGAGGCTGACCCTCATCAGCACTCCAGGGACGGGAGCTGACCTCCTCACCCGGGCAGGGCCCTTGCCAGGGCAGGGACATGCAGTGTCTAGCCTGGACCAAGTGTCCCCTGACTGCCTGCTGTTTCCCACCAAAGTGCAAGCCAAAGATCATGATATACCCAGTGAGAACCCTGAGAGTGGCCTGGAATTGTCGATAGCACCTGACTGGGTCAGTGAGGCCTGCATCAGCCAGGAGACGGCACCAAGTACAGGACAAGAAGTATTGTCTGATGAGCCCGACCCTTGGTCCCCAGAGGAGAACATGAAGCTGACTTCAGGGCCCAGCTCTCAGCTCTCAGAGTCACCAAGCCTAGCCAGTGCAGCAACCAGTGGTGGCGAAACACTTCCATGGTAAGGATTGCTCAACAGTGTGGGTCAGGAGAGAAATTAACTGTAGTTCTTCCACTGCATCATGGTTAGCAGGCCAGAGCCATATATTGAGTGACTACTATGGGCATAGCTAGGTTAGGTTCATGAGAAAAGCCTGTTTCGGAGCTCAGTACTGGTTCTCACTCATTACCAACTAGAGTTACCTAGGATGATTTAAAAATTCACCTGATACCTCCAAACTCTGATTTAGTTGACTTGGAAAATCTGGGAGTCTCATCTCCAATTAGCCACCAAAAAGCCAGTAGAGCTATGGCTCAAGTGGTATAACACTAGCCTTGAGCAAAAAAGCTAAGGGACAGCACTGTGGCCCTGAGTTCAAGCTCCAGTACCTGTGTACTCACACACACAAACATATACACATACACACACACACACACAGCTGCCAGATGGGATCACAGAACACTTTCACCATGCTGGTCAATGGCCTAGCACTATGCAGGTAGCATCTTGTTTTATCCTCACAGAATGCCCAGCAGATGGATGTGATTGTTGTCCCATTTACTGATGAGGAGATTTAGGCCCAAAATACCAGGCTGCACAGCTAGGTATTCATAGAACTGGAATCTAAGTCTAAAATAATAGACTAAGATAGTCTGAGATAATAGAATCTGTGCCCCTGGCCTGGGAAGGTAGCTCAGTGGTAGAGCGTTTGCCTTGCATGCCTGAGGCCCTGGGTTCGATTCCCCAGCATCACATAAGCAAAAAGAAAAGAGTCGGAAGTGACACTGTGGCTCAAGTGGTAGAGCGCTAGCCTTGAGCTGAAGAGCTGAGGGACAGCGCCCAGGCCCAGAGTTCAGGCCCCATGACCGTACCCCCTCTCCCCCCCCAAAAAAAAACTGTGCCCCTAACCACTGCACTACCCTGCTTCCTCAGATCAGCATTTAAATTCTTAAATATATGGTTGGCAGGAAAGGACAGGGCCGGGCTGGGAAGGTGGGCTCAGTGGTAGAGTGCTTGCCTCCCATGTATGAGGGCCTGGGTTCGATTCCTCAGCACCACATAAACAGTAAAAGCTGGAAGTGGCTCTGTGGCTCAAGTGGTAGAGCGCTAGCCTTGAGCTGAAGAGCTGAGGGACAGTGCCCAGGCCCAAAGTTCAAGCCCCATGACAAAAAAAAAAGGACAGAGCAGGTGAAGTCACTACTGGATGATATTGAGACATCTGTGCCAGAACTTCTGGAGGTGGATTTGGGATAGTTGCCATGATATTTAGGACATATTCTCCAGACATGCTCAGCAGACACTGTGGAAGAGTAGAGATCCTGCTGATTGCTCAGGCCCCATCACTAGCCCTATTGGACAGTACATCTTCTGCTCTAGAACAGGCCATAGAAGGACAATTCTTTCAGAAGTCCTCACTTTCCTCTGTACTTGCCCTGATCTGTAATTGAAATCTCAATGCCTGGCTCAGTAAGGTAATCTGTTGTCTATTTGTTCTGATGACCCTTTGATCTAGAAGGAAATGGGAGCTTCTCAGGAGATCTGATAAGCCTAAGAGAGGGATTCCAGACAGGCAACATGGACCCAGGCCACACCTTTCAATATGAAATCTAGAATTATAGTAAACTCTCTCTAAACTTACTTGTGGCCCCTAAACATTCTGAGTGAGAATAAAAGATTTTGATCTGAGCCATAAATTGAGTTTCAGGTTCATCAGACCTGCACTGAATCTCAGGAAGGATTGAGGTTCCACTTAACTTTCCTCTCTTACTATGTAAGCATTTTTTGAGGAATAGATTGAGAATCAACTGTCAGCTCTGACTGTCAGGGGCTGTTTATGTGAATGATCTTGAAACCATATCTTAACCTGGGAACATTGCATATTGTAGTTGTTTGGCTGTACCTGCCATAGGTGTGCTAAAAGTGATTACAATGCTAAAAGCAAGGCTGTGGTGTTATGTCATGACCCCTTGAGAGGAGCATAGTGGCTTCTCTTTCTGCTGGCCAGATTCTGCACTAGTATATAGCTCCCCGTGATAAGGCCTGATTTAGGTTTGGGTGGTTTGGCTTGGCTACTCCTGTCATCATAGATCGAACTATACTTAGTCCCAAGGGACACAGTGTTCAAAGAATTTTTGTCTGATTGGCTGTGGACAGGATGCTAAGTGTCTCAAATATACGACCAGATATTGGCCTCAGAAATCTGGGAAATCTCAGAAAGCTGGGAAAGGAGTTGAAGAAAGATGTCATTCGTGTGTGGTTTTTTTTGTTTGTGTGTGTGTGTGTGTGTGTGTGTGTGTGTGTGTATGTGTGTATGATGTTGTTGTTGTTTGTTTTTGTGCTGGTCCTGGGGTTTGGGTGCTGTTCTTGAGCTTTTTTGATCAAGGCTAGTGCTCTACCATTCAAGCCATAGCTCCACTTCTGGCTTCTTGGTAGCTCATGGACTTTCCTGTGTAGGTTGGCTTTGAACTGAGATCTTCAGATATCATCTTCCTGAGTAGCTAGGAAATGGGTGTAATACTATACAGACATGCCTATAATCCTATACAGACATGAGCTACCAGTACCCAGCTCATTTTCTTTTTGTTAAATATAATTTTATTGGTATTATTAAGGTGCTGTACAGAGGGGTTACCATTTCATAAGTCAGTTAAAGAATACATATCTTTTTTGGACAGTGTCACTCCTACTTTAGCTTTCTCCCAGTTTCCCTTCCTGCCCCTTCCCACAAGTTGCACAGTTTGTTTTCCACATAGTATATACTGCATGCATTCGTTCATACTTCCTCTCTCCCTACCTGTACCCTCCTTTACGCTGCCCACCTAGAAAAGACAAAAAAAAAAAAAGCGAACATCTCTACCACCACCAGAAACAAGAACAACAAAAACCCATGTTTCTTATTTCCTGGAATGTATTTTGATAAATAGTATTTTAAATGTTTGGAGGAATTATCCCTAATAGAAACCTCCTTTAGTCTAACTGTTTGAATGCCTAGAGTCTTTTTAGGTTGTCATGTCCAGTTGTATTTTAGATCTATCTTCCACATATGAGAGAAAACATGGCTTACCTCACTTAATATGATTTGTTCTAGGTCTGTCCATTTCCCTGCAGATGACATAATCTTATTCTTTCAAATGGATGAGTAAAATTCCATTATGTATATAGACTATATTCTTTTGATCCACTCGTCTATTGATGAGTGGATTTATTTGGGCTGTTTCTGTAACGTGACTATTGTGAATAGTGTAGCAATGAACATATATATTCAAGTGTCTATGATATTCTGACTTGTAATGCTCTGTGTAGATGCCTAAGAGTGGGTATGACTAGGTCATAGGGAACTTCTATGTCTAGTTTTTGAGGAATCTTCAAACTGCCTTCTACAGTGATTTTTTTTGTTTTTGTTTTTGTTTGTTTTGAGAGTGTGACAGTACTGGAACTTGAACTCAGGACTTGGTCTCTTGGCTTTTTTATGCAAAGCCACTTGAACCACAGCTCCCCTTCTCGTATTTTGCTGGTTAATAGGAGATAAGAGTCTCACAGAATTTCCTGCCTGGGCTGGCTTGGATCTATGATCCTCAGATCTCAGCCTCCTGAGTAGCTAGGACAAGAGGTGTGGATCACCAACACTAGGTTTCAAAGGGATTCTTGACCTCCAGCTGGGTCACAAACCCCAGAATCACAGCATGTGGTACCAGAAACAGACCCAGAGAAGGGTAGGTAGAACCCAGGTTTCCCACCTGCAGGCTGCAATCTTCCTGGGTACAAGCAAGTTTCCAGGGACCTTGAGGACATTTGGTCTCCATCTTTGTCCATTACAGGTTGTTTCAAGCTTTCCCTGGATCCTCATACAGTGGAATTCTGAGAGCTGCTGGTCCATCTGTTAATCAAGCTAGCCCTTTCCCTGGATCCTGTCTGGGCAAAGATGTTCTTGGATCCAGAGAGGCAGGGATTTCGAGCCTTCTAGTTCCCAGTGCACACAAACTCTACTATTGTAAAAACCCTGAGATCTCCATGTTATAGGTAAAAACTGAGACTATAAAGGCCACTGTCAGAGAATAGCAGCAATATATCTTTGAACCTAGGTCTGTTCTGACTTCAGAGTCCTTGATTTTAACCTTAGGAACATTTTTTTCTCCCTCTCTGCCCAGGATTTCCATTGATATGCAAGAGATGAATACACCTAGGGAGCTGCTTATTACACAAGGGGGCAGCCTCAGATCCACTCCCCCTGTAGGGGCTACCGCAGCTGTCCAATCAGGTGAGAAGGATCTACCTGGGCCCAGGTGCTACTCCAAAGCTCCTGGGGCTGAATTAGAAGAAGTCTCAAAAGGAACTGAAGAGTTTCCCTCATTACAGAAGAGAAACAGTGATGAGAGAGCAAATGTAGAGGAAAAGCAAGGGCATGGGCCTGAGCCTGTCATGGGACCAACCTTGGCCCAAAGGAACAAGAAAGATGCTGCTGACAAGACCCCAGGCCTGCAGCAAGACAAAGGTCCAGGGATAGGATACCACGAGCCTGAAGACTGTGTAGCCAGGGACTCTGTGAGAGCTGAAGCTGGAGGAAAGATGTACCCAGGTGCTAAGGCTGGTGGCGTGGTTCTGGGTAAGTAAGGCTGTTGCCAGCTTGGCACAAGCTCTTTGGTGGATGTAATGGATGACTATACTTTCCTGATGCTTTCAGGATTAGATAGTGTTGGTCTGTAGGTGCCCAGCTTTATTTATTTATTTATATTGTTATTATAAAGGTGATGTACAGAGTGATTACAGTTACATGTGTCCCTTAGCTTTTTCACTCAAAGCTGGTGCTCTACCACTTGAGCCACATCTCCATTTCCTGCTTCTTTGGTGGTTAATTGGAGACAAAAGTTTCATGGACTTTCTCTGCCCAGGTTGGCTTTGAACCATGATCCTCAGATCTCAGCCTCCTGAGTAAGTAGGATTACAGAAATGTGCTACCAGCACCCAGCTGTCCTTGTGTTCTTTTGACACAAAGGTCATCAATCTCTTTATTCTGGGGTTGATCTTAGTTGAGAGGATTATCTGTGGAATACTCTGGGTGCTCCCTGTAATACAAAAGCAGGATGGTTCCATGACAATCCCTCAACTTCTTGCCTCAGCCTCTTCTGGTTTTCTTTACTCACACACTGGCCTATGCCTTTCTGTTTTATTCCTTTACACTATTTTTATTTCTTTTAATATATTCTATTATTCATATCACCTGACTTAAAGATATCAATTCCAAACTATGTTTTAATCTTTCCAAGGACTGATTCTCCTTTGTACTCCCTCCAGATCCACTGTCCCTCTCTTTTCCCCACACTGTGCCTGAGAGCTACTCCTGTGGGCCTCATTACTGGTTCTTCTCTTCCAGCATCAGGATTGGGTCAGCTGCCAAAAAGCCAAGGGTAATAGGACAGAAAATGGTGCATTTACTTTTCACAACACCCTTGCTGCTTGCTATTGGACTAGTGACCAGGAAACCTAGATTTTAATCCTGTCCCTGCCTTGCTGTCTGACCTTGAACTTAGTTACCTCACTTCTCTAAGACTCAATTTTCTCTTCTGCCAAATGGATGGGTGCAACCCTTGTGAAAGGGTCGTAGGCAGGGCAAAAGGCTAATCCATGTGAAGCTGAGTGACTCTCTAATGGGGGCTGTATGTAGAAAGCTCACAGACCCCTTGTTATTTCCTGACAGATGACAGCTCAGCCCCACCAGCCCCTTTTGAACACCGGGTGGTGAGTGTCAAGGAGACCTCCATCTCAGCAGGCTACACGGTGTGCCAGCATGAAGTCTTGGGAGGGTAGGTGAAGGCTGGGAGTGGGAGCAGCAGGACTGACCCAGCAGGGGAATGAGCGAGATGCTGCTGGGTGGTCCTCAGAAGCAGACTGACTGAGCCAAAGGCAGGCCTGGGATTTCCTACCCAGCATAGATGAAGAGAGAGTCCACAGGAATCAGCTGTAGATATCCCTAGAGTATAACCACCAGGTGCAGGGAAGGACAGAAGAGCCAACTCTTGTGGGAGCATGGTCTTCTCCAGCATACAGAGTGTGCAGTGGCATTGGGATTATTTCCCTGGGGGACAAAATAGCCCATATTGTATGGGGGGGTAGTTTTTCCTTACACTTTACAGTAGACTGTATGGTCCAGAAAATTTCTAGATTTCAGAAAAGCCCATATAGTGTGGGGGTGAGGCTAGGACATACTGTGAGGCACAGTGCGTCTGTGGGGGGCGGGGGGAGGATGTGGGTAGCCCACCATGTGGAGGTGAGCTTCCTGCTTTCTCACCCTGCTGTGTCTCCCTGTGTCTCTATAGGGGTCGGTTTGGCCAGGTCCACAGGTGTACAGAGAGGTCCACAGGCCTGCCACTGGCAGCCAAGATCATCAAAGTGAAGAGTGCCAAGGACCGGGTGAGATGCCTGCGCCGGGCCAGCCAGGCCCTTCTAGCCAAGCTCAGGGCTCCTTCACTCCTCTGCAGCTCCCTCCCCACTGTTCCGTGCTGTCCCACACCGTCTCAGTCCCATCCTCCATGCTGAGTAGGTCCTATGGCCTCTCTTGCCTCTTTTCCACTCTCACCTTTCACTCAGCAAGTTGCTTCATACTCCTCAGTCCACACCCATGTATCAGTATGTGTCAGAGTCCTGGCATGGTTCTGCCAAGGTGCTGGCATGACTTTGAGTGACAAGGCCTTTTTCTTCTTGGGCCTCAGGTTTCTATCTGTGAAATGAGTAGCTTAAAATAAGTCTTTACTGTTAAAGGATTGTGAGTCCCTGCTGTGGCAGAGGGATGTTGAAGAAAGATGGTGTGCGTACGTGTGTGTGTGTGTGTGTGTGTGTGCGCGTGTGTGTGTGTGTGTGTGTGTGTGTGTGTGTGTGTCTGTCTCTGTCTTTCTGTCTTGAGAATGCAGTTGGCTTCTATTTCTAATGTGCTTACTTGGAAACTCCTCTCTCTGGTTCCACAAGGAGGATGTGAAAAATGAGATCAGCATCATGAACCAGCTCAGCCATGTGAACCTGATCCAGCTCTATGACGCCTTTGAGAGCAAGAACAACTTCGCTCTCATCATGGAGTAGTGAGTGTCTCAGAGATGGGGCAGCAGCTATTTCTCAGGTTGGAATAAAGGCTGGAACTTAAAGTCTTTATTCTAGGAAAACTCTTTCTTTCCTCTTCACTCACTGAGAGTGAGAAAGAGTGAGTGAGAGACATCAGTGGCCATGCCATCACCTTTTTCTCTGGCTTGACTGTTGAGTCCCAATAGAGGATATAGGAGAAATCCCTTCTGCCCACAGAGCTGTGGCCCTGGGTCTAATTGTACTGCAGATATTACAATGGTATAGCCTACACAACTTTTACTGTTTGAGTTTTTTTAACAGCTGAAACTGGGAAATTTAGATAATGAAAATGGGAAAACCTATATATCTGACTTTTAAGAAAATATATAGGGGCTGGGAAGGTGGCTCAGTGGTAGAGTGCTTGCCTTGCATGCCTGAGGCCCTGGGTTCGATTCCTCAGCACCACATAAACAAAAAGAAAAAAGCTGGAAGTGGCGCTGTGGCTCAAGTGGTAGAGCACTAGCCTTGAGCTGAAGAGCTGAGGGACAGTGCCCGGGCCCAGAGGTCAGGCCCCACGACTGGACACCTCCCCCCCCCAAAAAAAGAAAATATATAAAGGATATAGTGATGCTGGGCCTGGGTTTTTTGGGAGGGCATGTGTGTGTGTGTGTGTGTGTGTGTGTGTGTGTGTGTGTGTGTGTGTGTGTGTGTGTTGTGTGTCCCAGTCCTGGGGTTTAACCTCAACATCTGGGCACTTGAGCCACAGATTCATTTAGACTTCTTCCTAGTTAATTGGAGATAAGAGTCTCATGGACTTTATTTCCTGGGCTGCCTCAAACTGTGATCCTCAGATCTCAGCCACCTAAGTAGTTAGAATAGAGGCATGAGCCATAGCACCCAACCTGGCCCTGCATTTCTGGCTGGAAAATAGTATATTGGAACTTATAGTAGATGCCTTTTGTAGATAATCCAACCTGTCCACAAATCCCCAACATTCTCAACCAATGGTTGGCATGGTAGCCATGGATGGGCTGTTCATGTTTGCATTTGTATTGCTGTTTTCCTTCTGTCAGGGCTAAGGAAAGCAAAACATTTGCTATGCCTGACTCCATCAAAAGCATAAAAAATAAAAGACTAAGGGCTCTATGTTTACAGAAAATGGTATAATCTGTCCATTTAGGCTTCTTGTTACCTAGGTGCATGTGGTTGGCTTCTATAAGCAGATGATTTTACTACTCTAATTTAGATGATCCAGAGTATGGTTTATCAATATAGAAAACCATCTTAGGAATAGGCCAGAGCAAAAATTCTGACAAAACACCAGTGATCCATCCATAAGATGTAATCAACACTGGGCTGACTCAGACTGGCCTTCTTGGGCCCTGAAAAGAGTAGAGAAGACCTCCAAGAGCTTTGCCCAGTTTGGTGCTTGCTTCTCCCTTTTTATCTGGCAGTGTGGATGGTGGTGAACTCTTTGACAGGATCACAGATGAGAAATACCACTTGACAGAACTTGATGTGGTCTTGTTCACCAAGCAGATCTGTGAGGGTGTGCATTTTCTCCACCAACACTACATCCTACATCTGGACCTTAAGGTAAGTTCTGCCCTGGGATGTGGCAGATGGTTCCTGAGCTTCTCAGGCTCACCATTGAGCTTTCTGTCAACAGACAACCCTGACTTCCCTTCCTGGCTCTGCTATTTTCTAGCTCTGGAGTTGTGAGGCCAGTCTTGCCACTTTTCTTTTTTTTTTTTTTTTGTCGGTCGTGGGGCCAGTCTTGCCACTTTTCTTTTTTTTTTTTTTTGTCGGTCGTGGGGCTTGAACTCTGGGCCTGGGCGCTGTCCCTCAGCTCTTCAGCTCAAGGCGAGCGCTCTACCACTTGAGCTACAGCGCCACTTCCGGTTTTCTGGTGGTTTATTGGAGATAAGAGTCTCACGGTCTCTCCTGCCCGGGCTGGCTTTGAACCGCGATCCTCAGATCTCAGCCTCCTGAGTAGCTAGGATTACAGGCGTGAGCCACCAGCGCCCGGCAATCTTGCCACTTTTCTTAGCCTCTACTCTCCCATCTGTAACATGTGGATAATTGTGCCCTAATTTAAAGGGTTATTTGAAGATTAACTGGTATAATGCCCTTCCTTTTCTTTAAAAGTAGTTTTAAAATGGCCAGCCAAGTGCCAGTGGTTCATGCCTGTAATACTAACTATTCAGGAGGCTGAGATCTGAAGATTGCAGTTTGAAACCAGCCTGGGCAGGAACGTCCATGAGACTCTTATCTCTAATTAAAACTTGGAAGTGGAGCTGTGGCTCAAGTGGTAGAGCACTAGCCTGAGCAAAAAGCCTCAGTGAAAGTGCCCAGGTCCTGAGTTCAAGCCCCAGGACTGGCACTCCTCCCCCTCAAAAAAAGTCCAAAAGAAAATATATGCTTATGTGGCAAATATAAACAATATAAAAGTATATAAAATACACAGTGGAAGTTCTTCCCACACAATCTTCATGAAGCATAGTCTATATGAGCAGCTTGACAACACAAACACATACACACACACACACACACACACACACTCACACACTCACACTCACACACACACAGGACAATTATACAATGAATGTTTTGTTTTAAATTTTTTAATTAGCTTACATTACTTTTTCCAGAGCAGGGGGCAAGGAGACTATGATTTATAAACAAATAAATGTGGGAGAAGCACGCCTTCTTAGTTCTTTTTTCTGTTGGTCATGGGGCTTGAACTCTGGCCCTGGGTGCTGTCCCTCAGCTCTTCAGCTCAAGGCAAGCACTCTACCAATCAAGCCACAGTTCCATTTCCAGTTTTCTGGTGTTTAATTAGAGATAAGAGACTCACGGACTACTTTCCTGCCTGGGCTGGCTTTGAACTAAGATCCTCAGATCTCAGCCTCCTGAGTAGCTAGGATTACAGGTGTGAGCCACCGGCACCCGGCCCTTTTAAGTTCTTAAACCTGGCTAACCAAACTTCTTTTTCTTTTCTAGCCAGAGAACATTCTGTGTGTCAATCAGACTGGCCACCAAATTAAGATCATTGACTTTGGTCTGGCCAGAAGGTAAGGGAGATTTATTCTGATATTTTGACAAAACTGAAAAAGACTCTAGCTCAACAGAGCTAGTTACCTGGTGAATTCTTGAGTTGGGAATGGATGAAGACATTTGGAGGCTTATGGCTTTTGACTTCCAGATAAGCCTTGTGCCCACCCAGGAGGTGGCTTTGTGGAATTAATGGTTCTTTGAGCCAGCTGAAAAGTGGAAGGGATGGTTAAAGAGGACTCAGGATGTGGTGCTGGGCAGCTCTCTCTCTCTCTCTCTCTATATATATATATATATATATTATATGTATATATATATATATATATATTATATGTGTGTATGTATATATATGTATGTGTATATGTATATGTATATACAGGGTCTTTCTGACTTGTCCAACCTGTCTTTGAACTATAGATCATTCTGCTCCCACCTCCTGAGTGTTGGGATTACAGGTGTACAAAACTCATGCCTGTCTAAATTTTAAAATGATTCAAAAGACTTAAAACTTAATGCAGCTGTTTTTTTCTGCACAGTCCTGTTCAGTCATTTGTGTGATAAATCCTAAGCTTCTGCAGGGCTCTTGCCATTCCAGACACACTTGGTTCTCAACAATGGATGTTGCAGGTTTCTTGGCATTAGGAAGGTGCTTCCTGTCCTCCAAACCTTCATGTATCCACAATTCATGCTTCCAGCTATAAAGATATTAACTGAAATTGGTTCACAATTGTACCATACTTGTGGCTTTCTCTAGAACTTTGTTCCCTCCAAGAATGACTTTTTTATCTGGAAACCACACATTTTCTGGATAGGTCTTCATATTGTAGCTGAGTCCTCAATTCTTCCTAAAGTTTTTTTTTTTTCTTTTCTTTTTTGCATGTTCTCTATATGTAGTTGAGCTGGCTTGGAACTTGAGATCATTCAGCCTTTCAAATTCTGGGGTTACAGGTGTGAGTTGCCACACACTTTTTTTTGTCATTTAATGTCTGTTTCCCCCAAAGAAGTAGTCATTGTTATAAGCCATAGGATGTTCTCCACTTCGTGCACAAGTTGGAGATAGTACAGCTTTGCCCCATAGAGGCAGAGCTGCTGGCATGAGCCTCGCTCCTGGTTTCCTACTTCCCCATACCATCCCAAACCACAGTGGCCACTCCTGAATAATTTCTCCCCTGGTTGAAGTGGCAAGTGTTCCTGTTAGCAGAATAAGGGCTGCAATTTCACTGCCCCACATGCTGTTGGCATACAGCAAAAGGAAGTTTGTATCATCCCTGACACACAGTGTGGGCATTCCTATACACAGTGGCCTCAGTTTTCTCCCAGCCCAAATAGTTAAAAACCACATTCAATCCACAATATAAAAAAAACTTATTTCATGTTTTCTTCAGATAGTGTCTATTAAAATCGAAATTAATCCTATACACTTGCATGTCTTACATACCTGAGCAGTGTTTTGCAGTGTTTGCACCATTGCTACCTGTCCCCACATTGGGCACCATTTTTGGCTTTTTTTCCTAGCCTCTTGGTCACCCCATTTCATGAAATTTAATGCCACAGATGTCTGTGCACATGTATCATTGTCCTTTTCTTTTTTTTTTTTGTCGGTCGTGGGGCTTGAACTCTGGGCCTGGGCGCTGTCCCTCAGCTCTTCAGCTCAAGGCGAGCGCTCTATCACTTGAGCTACAGCGCCACTTCCGGTTTTCTAGTGGTTTATTGGAGATAGGAGTCTCACGGTCTTTCCTGCCCGGGCTGGCTTTGAACCGCGATCCTCAGATCTGAGCCTCCTCAGTAGCTAGGATTACAGGCGTGAGCCACCAGCGCCCGGCTTATCATTGTCCTTTGAAGAGCTATAAACCATCATAATAGCTAAGTTATTTTTCCCTCCTCCTTGGGACAGTGTTGTCTTCACTGAGAATGTATATACTGGAGTGTGCATTATATTCACAAAGCCAGGTGACCAATTGTCATATGAGTCCTTACAGTGATATACTAGGAATTCAGGGCAAAAAAATAATCTGGGGCTGAGTGTTTGTGGCTCATGCCTATAGTCCTAGCTACTCAGAAGGCTGAGATATGAGGAGCACAAGTCAAAGAAAGCCTGGGTAAGAGAAATCTGTGAGACTCCAATTACCATCAAAGAGCCAGAAGTGGAATTGTGGCTCATGTGTGGAATACTAGCCTTGAGCAGAAAAGCTAAAGGACAGTTCCCAGGCCCCAAGATCAAGCCCCAGGACTGGCAAAAAAAAAAAAAAGCAATTACTGCTAAGTACTGGTGGTTTACTCCTGTAATCCCATCTATTCAGGAGGCTGACGTCTGAGGATCATGCTTGAAAGTCATAAGACTCTTATCTTCAATTAACTACCAAAAAACCCAGAGGTGGAGCTGTAACTCAAGGAGTATAACACTGGCCTTGAGCAAAAAACTCATGAATACACCCTAACTCTGAGTGCAAGTCCCAGTAGTGACACAAAAAATAATCCAAGCTGGGCACTGGTTGCTCATGCATATACTCCTAGCTACTCAGGAGGCTGAGATCTGAGGATTGCCATTCAAAGCCAGCCCAGGCAGGAAAGTCTGTGAGACTCTTATTGCCAATGAACCACCAGAAAACCAGAAGTGGCACTGTGGGTCAAGTGGAAGAGTGCTCACCTTGAGCTGAAGAGCTCAGGAACAGCACACAGGCCCAGATTTCAAGCCCCACGCTCCTCACCCGATCAAAAAAAAAAAAGCTAAAAGACAAAAACACATTGTGGGTTTGGTTTTTTTGTTTTCAGAGGCACTGCAGTTTGAACTCAGGGCCTCAGGCTTGCTCAGGATGGCACTCTAACTATTGAACCATACCTCTAACCTGGCTTTTTGCTAGTTAATTTGGAGATGGAGTCTAGCCAATTTTTCTCCTTGGGCTAGCCTTGAACCTTGATCCTCTGGAATTTAGCCTTTGATAGCTAGGACTGATGTGAAGTACTGGCATTGGGCACAGTATAGATTTTGAATGTAGTTCCCTAATGATCAGTGATGATGAGCATCTTTTCCTCTTTTGCTGGCTTTGTTATTCCTCTAGCCACATTGTACATGCAACAGAGCAGTGGCTGCCCAATATCTTCTACTCCATTTGTTTATATTTTTTCATGTGGGTATGTAGCAAATAAGATGTATTGGTAAGCTGGGGGTGTGTTCAGCAGTAGAGCACCTGCTTAGGAAACAAGAGACCTTGAATTCAAATTTTATACTGTCCCACCTCCCCCCCAAAAGAACAATAAAACCTATTAAAAGAAAAAAAGCAGGACATTAGTAACACATATGTATAATCCTAGCTACTCAAGAAATTGAGATCTAAGGATCCCGCTGTAAAGCTAGCACAGGCAGAAAAGTCTATGAGATTCTAATTTCCAATTAACTAGCAAAAAGGTGGAAGTGGAGGTGTGGTTCAAGCAGTAGAGTATCAGGCCAGAAAAAGTTAAGGAAGAATGTGAGACCCTGAGTTTAGGTTCCAGAACCATGTGTGTGTGCACACACACAAACATACATACACACACACACACACACACACACACATAAAAGAGAGATATTAGTGTGCTGCCTCTTCAGTCAGGCATGTATGGAGAACTGTAGTTTTCTGATCTAGCTAGGAAAGCCTGAAGTTTGGGGCTTACAGGTTTGATTATTCCCCAGTGGATATGAGACCTAGGCATGTCTAACAGGAAAGGTGGGGGACTCTGCCCTCCCACTAGGCCTTAGTTCCATATCCAGATTTATTTTTTATTTTTTTGCTGGTCCTGGGGCTTGAACTCAGAGCTTGGGCTCTGTCCTTGAGCTTCTTTTGCTCAAGGCTAGTGCTCTACCACTTGAGCCACAGCTTTTTCTGAGTAGTTTGTTGGAGATAAGAGTCTCACGACCTTTCCTAGGGAGTCTCACAACCTTTCCTGCCCAGGCTAGCTTTGAACCAGGATCCTCAGATCTCAGCCTCTTGAGTTATTACTGTTTCTATTGTTATTATTGTTACTATTAAGTTGTTGCATAGAGAGGTTACCATTTTGTAAGTCAGGTAATGAGTACAATTATTTTTCTGGACAATGTCACCCCTTTCTTGGCTCCTCCCAGTTTCCTCCAGATTTTTTGTGTGTGCCTGTTCTGGGTCTTGAACTCAGGACCTAGGCACTGTCCTTTATGTTGTTTGTTGTTGTTGTTGTTATTGTTTTTGGCAGTCATGGGGCTTGAACTCTAGGCCTGGGTGCTGTCCCTCAGCTCTTCAGCTCAAGGCTAGTGCTCTACCACTTAAGCCACAGCACTGCTTCTAGTTTTCTGGTGGTTTAATGGAGATAAAAGTGTCACAGACTTTTCTGCCTGAGCTAGCTTTAAACTGCAATCCTCAGATCTCAGCCTCCTGAGTAACTAGGATTACAGGGATGAGCCACTGTTGCCTGTTTCCCCACATCTCCATCTAGTTCAGGTCTTGCTTCTATGGTCTTCTCCATTCCCTCCTCCCCAGGTACAAGCCCCGGGAAAAGCTGAAGGTGAACTTTGGCACTCCTGAGTTCCTGGCCCCAGAAGTCGTCAACTATGAGTTTGTCTCATTCCCCACAGACATGTGGAGTGTGGGCGTCATCACCTATATGCTGTGAGTCCCCAGGGGCCTGGCACTGAGGTGGGCTGGGGCTCTCTATCTTACTCTGGCAGCCTTAGAAGCAGCAAAAACTTGAATATATTTATTTCCCCAGGAACACTAGTAGAAGAGCAGTGTAGAGAGATGTGAAGGAAAGAAAGGCTTTCAGCGATGGGTATGTTACTGAGCCATCTACCTATCACATGTACAAAGGGATCTTACTTCTAAACTACCACTTCCAATTAAGGCTGTTGTTGAAAAAAATGTTGAGTTATATGATACTATTCCTCAAAGTAAAGGTCTGAATATTTCATTTCATAGTGAAGCTTTTTTTAAGTTTCAGGAGCCATAGCTAAGTCACAGGCTGAGCCACTGAGTTTAATCTGATAGTCACATATAAAATAACTCAAATTAACAGATATTAATGACCCAGAAATAAGCAACACCTGTGAACATCTAGAGTTTATTTCCACTGGGAGACTATGGATTCCATTGTGAAATACTCTCTCAAACTTATTTTTATGAGGGGCAAAAGAGCTCAATATTCCCACTCTTTTTTTTTTTTTTTCTTTTCTTCTTTTGTCTTTGCTGGTCCTGGGGCTTGAACTCTGGGCCTAGGTGCTGTGCCTGAGCTTTTTGTATTCAAGCTAGTGTTGTACCACTTGAGTCACAGCTCCACTTCTGGCGCTTTTTTTGTAGTTTAATGGAGATAGGAATCTCTTGGAATTTCCTGCCTGGGCTGGCTTTAAACCGTAACCCTCAGGGGCTGGGAAGGTGGCTCAGTGGTAGAGTGCTTGCCTTGCATGCCTGAGGCCCTGGGTTCCATTCCTCAGTACCACATAACAAAAAAGAAAAAAGCCGGAGGTGGCGCTGTGCCTCAAGTGGTAGAGCACTAGCCTTGAGCTGAAGAGCTGAGGGACAGCACCCAGGCCCAGAGGTCAGGCCCCACAACCGGACCCAAAAAAAACAAAAACAAAAATAAACCGTAACCCTCAGATATCAGCCTCTTAAGTAGCTAGGATTATGGGCTTGAGCCACTGATACCTGACTCCCACTCTTATTAACTAAATTTTATGTGCTTATCCCAGGAGTGTGTGTTGCAGAAATGAAATTAGTTTCCAGGTACTTTGGGTGGGTAAAGCAAATTTTAATCATAGAGAAAGCTATCTGGCAAAGAAATTCAGGTAGTTGGATACAAGTGTATAGAGTGTATAGAGTTAACCAAAGGGTTACAGTAAGGGGATGGGTGAGCCAGGCATCTCTATACAGTGCAACCTGTCACTTCTTTTTTGTTTGTTTTTGTTTTTGTCAGTTGTGGGGTTTGAACTCTGGGCCTGGGTGCTTCCCTGAGCTCTTCAGCTTATGGCGAGCACTCTACCACTTGAGCCACAGAAGCACTACTTCTGGTTTTCTGGTGGTTAATTGGAGATAAGAGTCTCTTGGCCTTTCCTACCCGAGCTGGCTTTGAACCGTGATCCTCAGAGCTCAGCTCCCTGAGTAGTTAGGTGTGAGCCACAAGCACCTCCCTTGTTTGTTTTTGTTTTTGCAAGTCCTGGGCTTTGATCTCAGAGCCTGGTACTATCCTTGAGTTTCTATTGCTCAAGTCTAGCGTTCTACCACCTAAGCCAAATTTCCTCTTCTGGATTTTTCTGTTTATATGGTACTGAGGAATGGAACCCAGGGCTTCCTGCATGCTAAGCAAGCACTGTATCACTAAGCCACATTTCTAGCCCTGCCTATCACTTCTTATCCTAGCTTTCCTGTTTTTTTCTGTACGTATATGTGTATGTGCACGCGCGTGCATGTGCACACACACATGCATGCATGCATGCATGCAGACACACACGTGTTAGTATTGGGAATTGAACTCAGGGCCTTATACTCCTGCTTGCCTTTTTTGTTCAAGGCTGATGCTCTACCAGTTGAGCCACACCTTTACTTTGTTGTTGTTGGAGGTGGTGGTGGTGGTTAATTGGACATAAGAGTCTAAAGGCCTTTTTGTCTCCCTGGCTGGCTTCAGTCCTCAGATCTCAGCCTCTTGAGTAGCTAAGATAACCACTAGCACCTAGCCCTGTTTTTCTCCTTTCTCTCTGACTTTGAACTTCCCTTGACTAGGTTCTTAGAAGCCACCATAATGTTTTACTTCTTGTCTTATTTTTATTGTATAATGGCTACCCTATCTGTACTATCCCAGATTGGGGAAGCTTCAACCTTATGGCCAACCAATAGAACCAATTTCTCTTTGGTGACTAATTGAATCTAGTTGTCTCTGAAATAACCAATAAAAATATTTTAAAATTGAATCATAAACAAATAAGAATTTGATTACTGGATATATTTGTTGGGTCCAACTGCTTCTCTTCTTCATCACAGTTCTGGTTAGATAGGCCTGGGACTTATGTTTCCTCTCTGTTCTATGGAAGAATATTGGCTAAAATGGCTTTGAGATATTGATGATCTTTCCTCTTCTCTGTAGGCTCAGTGGTTTGTCCCCATTTCTAGGGGAAACAGACACAGAGACCATGAATTTCATTGTGAACTGCAGCTGGGATTTTGATGCTGGCACCTTTGAAGGGCTGTCAGAGGAAGCCAAGGACTTTGTTTCCAGGTTGCTTGTCAAGGAGAAAAGGTACCTTTATTGTTGATCACTCATGAGTTGTTCTAATGAGATCTTGACCTGGATATTCGGCTGGCCTGTTGAAACTAAAGATTTTTCATTTGTTCAGTATTTCTTATCCTGAAACTTGTTTGGAACAAGAAAGGGTCAGAGAAAGGAACAAAGGTAATCAATTCAAAAACAACTAGAAACAAAGTCCAGTCAGAATTTTAAAAATCACCATATTTATAGATGGACCCTATTTCCAAGGTATTACTTATTAGACACACTTGATAAAAAGTAAAGCTATACAGATGTCATTGCATTTCTTTTGACAAGGACTGCTTCAAGCATCTCCTAAATCATGGATTGAGCCCTTCAGGTGTTTGATACCCAGGTGAAATAGTAACTTTAAATAAAACTTTAAATAACCAAAGGTATTAATCATCCAGAATAAAGCTCTGAGCTTTCTTCCTCCCCCACTCCTCCTCACCCCTCCTCTTTCCTTCTCCTTCCTCTTCTTCCCTCCTCCTTCCTGCTCCTTCTTCCTTCTTGTTTTTGTTGGTCGTGGGGCTTGAACTCTGGGCCTGGTCACTGTCCCTCAGCTCTTCAGCTCAAGGTGACCACTCTACCACTTGAGCCACAGTGCCACTTCCCATTTTCTGGTGGTTAATTGGAGATAAGATGGACTTTCCTGCCCAGGCTGGCTTTGAACTACCATCCTCAGATCTCATCCTCCTGAGTAGCTAGGATTATAGGTGTGAGCCATCAGTGCCTGGCTTTTCTTCCTTCTCCCCCTCCCTCTTTCCCTTCCTCCCTTCTTTCTTTCTCTTTCTTTCTATCTTTCTTTTTCTTTCCCTCTCTCTCTCTTCTTCTTGTTCTTGTTCTTTATTATTATTATTATTGTGAAAATACCATACAGAGGGGTTATAATTACATGGGCAAGATAGTGAGTACATTTCTTCCTCCTTCTTTTCTTGCCAGTCCTGTGGCTTGAACTCCAGGCCTTTATTTGGTACTGAGTAATCAAACCCAGGGCTTCATGTATGCTAGGCAAGCACTCTACCACTAAGCCACATTCCCAGCCCACTTTCTTCTTTTTTTGGTGCCAGTTCTGGATCTTGAATTCAGTGCATGGGTGCTATCCCTGAGTTTTTTTTGCTGAAAGTTAACTCTGTACAACTTGAGCCACAGTTCTACTTCTAGCCTTCTGGTGGCTAATTGGAAATAAGAGTTTCACAGACTTTCCTGTCCAGGCTAGCTTCAAACTGTGGTCCTCAGATATCAGCCTCCTGCATAGTTGAGATTACAGGCAACAGCCACCAGTGTTGGTTTAAGAAATTAACTTCTTGGGGCTGAGAAGGTGGCTCAGTGGTAGAGCACTTGCCTTGCATACTTGAGGCCCTGGGTTCAATTCTTCAGCACCACATAAGCAAAAAGAAAAGCCAGAAGTGGCGCTGTGGCTCAAGTGGTAGAGCACTAGCCTTGAGCTGAAGAGCTGAGGGACAGTGCCCAGGACCAGAGTTCAGGCCCCACGACCGACCCCCCAAAAAAATTATTTAAAATTTTTTAATTTTTATTATAAAGGTTATATATAGGGGTTACAGTTAAGTCAGATAATGAATACTTTTTTTTTTAACATTGTCACCCCTTCCCTCACTCCCTCCCATTCCAACCCACAAGTTGTATAGTTGATTTTTAATATAATGTCTAGGGAGTACCACAGCTGACATTTGTTTACCCATTGTTCCTCCATTTCTATGTCTCCCTTACCCTCTCAAATTATTATTATTAGTAAAGTAGTTGTACAAGGAGGTTACAATTCCATGTCAGGTTATGAGTACAATCCCCTTCCATTGTTCTTCCCTATTTCCCCCCTCCCATTTCTACCCTTACCTTTTACTTCTTTTCTTTTTTTTGGAAGGTTGTGGGGCTTGAACTCTGGGCCTGAACGCTGTCCCTCAGCAGTTCTGCTCAAGGCTAGCACTCTACCACTTGAGCCACAGTGCCATTTCCAGTTTATGAGTGGCTTACTGGAGATAAGAGTCTCAAGACTTTCCTGCCTGGACTGGCTTTGAATTGTGATCCTTAGATCTCAGCCTCCTGAGTAGCTAGGATTACAGGCATGAGCCACCAGCACCTGGCATATTTTGCTTCTTAAGCACAATCTTAAGAGGTGTATTGATGTCTCACAGTTTTAATTCTACTCAGGAGGCAGACACCTGAGGATCACAGTTTGAAGCCAGCTAGGACAGACAAATCCAAGAGACTCTTCTCTCCAATTAACCAGCAAAAAGGCAGAAGTGGAAGTGTGGTTCATATGTAGAGCACCAACTTAGAGTAAAACAGTCAAGCAAATCTGGGTGCTGATGGCTCATACCTGAAATCCTAAATTCTCAGAGGCTGAGATCTGAGGATCATGGTTCAGAGCCAACCTGGGAAGGAAACTCCATGAGATTCTTATTTCCAAGTAACCACCAGAAAAGTGGTAGAACACTAGCTTTGAGCAAAAGAGCTCAAGATAATGTCTAGGCCCTGAGTTCAAACCCCACTACCAACAAAAATTATTAAAAACTTAAATAAAATTTTTTTAAAAAGCTAAGGGACTCCCTGGCCCTGCATTCAAGCCCTACTACTGACAATAAAAAAAATAAGCCGGGTGCCAGTGGATCATGCCTGTAATCCTAGCTACTCAGGAGGCTGAGATCTGAGGATTTCAGATCAAAGCCAGCCTGGGCAGGAAAGGCCATGAAACTCTTATCTCTAATTAACCACCAGAAAACCAGAAGTGGCACCGTGGCTCAAGTGGTAGAGTGCTAGCCTTGAGCTGAAGAGCTGAGGGATAGGAGTCAGGCCCAGAGTTCAAGCTTTGTAACTGACAAATAAAAAATAAGGTGGACACTGGTGGCTCATGCCTGTAATCCTAGCTGCTCAGGAGGCTGAGATCTGAGGATCATGGTTCAAAGCCAGCCAGGGCAGGAAAGTCCAAGAGATTCTTATTTATTTATTTACTTTTGAACTTTATTTATTATTATTAGTAGTAGTAGTTGTTGTTGTTTATTGGTCATGGAGCCTGAACTCTGGACCTGGGTGCTGTCCCTCAGTTCTTCAGCTCAAGGCTAGCGCTCTACCACTTGAGCTACAGTGGCACTTCCAGCTTTTTCTGTTTATGTGGTGCTGAGGAATTGAACCCAGGGCCTTATGCATGCAAGGCAAGCACTCTACCACTGAGCCACCTTTCCAGCCCCCTCCAAGAGATTCTTATCTCAATTAACCACCTGAAAACCAGAAGTGGCACCATGGCTCAAGTGGTAGAGCACTAGCCTTGAACTGAAGAACAAATGCTATGGGACTCTCTGGCCCTGAGTTCAACCCCTAGTGCTAGCGTGTGCACGCAAGCACGCGCGCGCACACACACACAAATCCTCAGAGATAGCTGGAATTTCTACTGCTCTGCCTCAGTATAGGATGGAGAATATCTTAGGCAAGTTCTTCTTGTTGTGCAGCATGAATCTTAATGATCAACCTGTTCCACTGACTCAGGCTTCCTACCCAGTGGAATGATGCTGGATAGCTAGAAAAAGCAAATACAACTAAAACTTTCAACTGCTGTTTGATTTCATTCACAGCTGCAGAATGAGTGCCACACAGTGCCTGAAACATGAATGGTTGAATAACTTGCCTGCCAAAGCCTCAAAATTCAAAGTTTGTCTCAAATCCCAACTATTGTTGCAGAAATACATGGCCCAGAGAAAATGGAAGGTATTTTGGTTTTCTTTCAGCAAACACAGAATTGAAGCTAAGGTTTTATTTACACTTTTGTCACTAACTACAAAGATTATTTAGGGGAAAAAGTCTTTCCCAAGTCAAAAGCTGTCAGCTTGATCACAAGATGCCACACACTGTCACAAAAGTGCTGTTTAGTTCCAAGTCCTCTGGGCACTTGGTGACAGAATGCAATTGAGCATATGGTCGTAGTGATGGTGGCAGGGTCCCTGAGTTTGATTTTTCTTCATTTCAGACACTGGAAATGGGAAAGATTCACTAAGCTTTAAAAGCTTTATAAGTTTGCTTATAACAAAATTCTTTGAACTTTGGCCATAGAGCCTATCTTAATAGGCATTGTCATTTGGGAAAATAGCTTTCCAACATTTTAGTACTGACTTGGATGTTCACTAAAAAGCAAAACAATAGGGCCAGGAAGGTGGGCCATTCCTTTGTGTCTCAAAACAAAAACAAAAAACCCTTTCCCAAGGAGTCAGAATACAAGTACACATATACATCTATAGACATACACAGGGCAAAATTTTCACTTTTATTCTAACAGAGTGCGATGTATTCTATTGCTTATCCCATTTAATTTCATTTTACCAAAAAAAAAAACCCCAAAACAATGTTCATATGATTTCATGACCCTTTTGTAGGTTGTGAATCATAATTTGAAAAACACTATTCTGGGTTGCTTATTTTTTCATGTGAGAAGAGCAAGGTCACTTATTATCTTAACTCACACTTATTCCAAACATTTCCTTTCAGGTTATGTGAGTATTGTACTATAATTATTTCAGATACTTGTTATTCACTTTATCAATTTTAAACAAACTCAGTGGATAGCCATTCAAAGCATCTGTTTCTTTTAAAGTACTTGGTCTAAAATATGCCTTTTCTTTTTTTTTATCTTGTCTTCTTATCTCAAGAAACATTTCTACGTGGTGACTGCTGCCAACAGGTTAAAGAAATATCCAGCTTGTTCTTAATCTTCTACTCTGCAACTCCAGTGACAGAAATTATTGAGGCCAGTGGTAATGTGAAGAGATGACTCACAAATTTAAATAACCTGGCCCTTTATTATGCTTGACTCCTAAACAAAACAATAATCTCCCTTCTTACAGTTATGTTGCTTTTGTTATAGATGAAAAGTGGCTATAAAAGAACTCTTGAAAGATCACTAAGTTTGAAAAGCTATGTTTACTTTTCAAATATCTCTGTTTGGTAATAACTGTAGTCATAGTTAAGGTCATTAGGAAAGGTTCTTTTTGCAAATGTCAAACTCAAATTCTAAGCTTTCTTGATTAAAGAATTCAGTATAATATTTCACTAGGTCATTTACTCAGTATTAGTAAAGAATTTCTAGCATTTTGATTTGCCTAAGGTTGAACAAATCTTTTCCCACCCTGCTCTAGTGTCTAGCTACAGGGATTTAGGACAGTGATTCTCAAAGTAGTTTTAACTATGTTCCCTTTAAAAATCTCCATCAGAAGCCAGGCCTGTAATCCTAGCTACTCAGGAGGCTGAGATCTGAGGATCAGAGTTCAAAGCCAGCCCATGCAGGAAAGTCTGTGAGACTCTAATCTCCAATAAACCACCAGAAAACTAGAAGTGGCACTGTGGCTCAAGTGGTTGAGCTGAATTGCTGAGGGACAGTGCCCAGGCCCAAAGTTCAAGCCCCACAACCTCTCCCTCCCCCCCAAAAAAAGCAAGCAAACAAAAAAGCACCAATATGCGTTCTTGAGTATTGTTTGAAATTTTGAAATAAGTCATCTGTCATGGTTAAGGTCTGAGCATTGTAAATGTGTTTTGTAACCCTTTATCTTCTCTCCTAATCCTACCCTGTCCTGCCCCTACCCCTTATTTGCTTATGAATTTCTAGTCTTGATTTATCAGTTTCTGGCTGTGAAAGTCTGGAAATGATATGTGGAAGACAGGAGAATAATGGTGTCCAGCTGTCAGAGAGGAAAAATGACTGTGAGGACACATTACAAAGCAATAAAGGAAAGCTGCTTTCCTGCTGTATTTGTCATTCTTTTTTTTCTGATTTATTGTTGTTTTAGAGGAGATACACAGTGAAGTTACCTTTACATACATCAGATAGTAAGTACATTTCCTTTTGCATAGTGTCATCTGTTCCCTCATTTTCTCCTATTCCCTCTCTCCCATCTCCACCCAGGAATTGCATAGTTCACTTTCATCAATGTCCAGTAAATTCCATTGCTGCACTTTTTCACCCTTTTTCCTCTAATTCTGTGCCCTTCCTTCACCTTGGCACAGGTGTGCATGTGAATACACTGTATATAAGGTAAGAATACACAGTCATCAGAAAAAGAAAAGATAATTTAAGAAAAAAAATCCTTTGTTTCCATATCTTTGGAGTTCATTTCAGTATGTATCATATTTTATATACATATGAAGAGGAACTTGAGTATTACACCGTTGTGATTTTCTCCTAAGACTATCTGTAAGGTTTTAGGTGAGGAAAGAACGCGCTGAGGAAGTAAAGGTGAATAAAAGTTTATTGCGGTATGCTCCCAGGCGAACTCCCTAGTCGGGATGAGAGAGGTTGCAGAGTCTGGTTGTAGCAGGGTTATATGGCCGGGGTCAGCAGGAACTTTTAGCACGTACCTTGTTTTGCAAGTTTGAGCGGTTTCAGGCTTGTGTCCCCGAAGAACGATTGGGACGGGTGGTGGATAGGAAGTGGCTTCTCGGCTGCCTCTGCCTTCCAGCGGCCTGACGCTATCCTCCTTTAGTTTCACTGCATGTGAGTATCTAGAATTTGTGTCCTATCGTGTTTGTAGATCTCATTCCAGTCTGGGGGGAAGGGGGAGCTGGGAAGATTAGATTTGGGCCTCCAGGATGGGCTCCATTGGATCTGTCTGCTGGACGTGGTCGGGTGGATGTGAGGCTTTGGAAGGGGTGGGCTCCCATTGGGTCCTTGAAATCTCTTCTGTGTTGGTTTCAAGCCAGCCCGTTTCCGTGCAGATAGCCAGGGCTGTGAAGGATGCTGGGTCCCGGTGTGGGTATGGGTCCCGGTGGCCTCCTGCTGGAAGTCAGCAGGTGGGGTGAGGGGAAGTGAGGAAGGGCTCTGGTCTCTGTCCTCTTCAAGCGTGGTGTCCCTTCTTGGGCAGGAGATGAAGTACTAGGCTGTAGACGCGGCCCCCGCCCCGCGCGCACACACACACACACACACAAAGACCACCAGGGAAGCATGCCTGATGTAAATGCGCGAGAGTCGTCCATTAAAACTCCAGGGGAACTCAAACTTCCTGGCTCAGCAGGTTGGAAATTGTAAGCCCGACCACGGCGTCCAGCAGGGTTTTTATAGGGAGGGAACCGTGAAGCAGAGGGAGGGTCATTACAGCATTGGTTGTGTGGGGTTATGTGATTGGTTGAGATTCGCGGGTGGTTGGGGCATGATCATTTCTAGTGAGGGCAGGGGCTTTCCAACTTAGCGGCTACAGGATAGGTTAAAGCATATGTAGCAAACATGTCATTGGTAGGGGTAAGCGGGTTAGTAGGGCTAACTACAGGAATGCTGATTCATTTCCCTGTTCTAAATTGCTTCCCGCAGGGTTGGGGTGACTGATCAGGACGGTCTGACCCCGTGGACTGTGCTGATACTGTTACGTTGTCTTGGAGCAGGCTCTAACATTTATCCTCCAGTAAACGTATGACAGATATTTTCTTTATGGTTTCGTTACTGCCGAACTTACTTTTGGTCGCTCAGAGGGAGGGGATTGGGCCAAGCTTTGTGGGTCAGCACCAGCGCTTGTCTCCCATGTGGAAGAGTCCTCCGCAGGGTGCTCTCTCTGATCCTGGAGTTGGTTGTGGGCTGACCCGAGGTGCTGCTTGGATCCCTGAGACCAGGGCAGCCGGGGAGCTGGAACTATTCTGGGTCTGGGTGTCACAATGGCTCTCTGCTAGTCTCTGTGAGTTTCTGCGCTGTCTGGTCTGGCGCTGTGGGAGTTTTCTGCATCTCTATCTGATCGGTTCTGGAGTCCCACGCTGCAGCCGCGCTGGGATGGGGTCTGGGGGAGGGCTCTTTGAAATTTTCTGTCCTGTGTACAAGATAGGGGTTCGGTGCTTTTGTTTTCCTTCAGTTCCTGTGATTCTCTCCTTGTGAATATATTTGTTGTTGTAAATCTCTTGGGGAGAGGTGTATGTTAGGACTCCAAATCTCTGGTTAGAGAGAGCCAGGGTGATTCTCTACTGTTTTGCGGCCATCTTCTTCCCTGTATTTGTCATTCTTTCAACAGTCACTTGCACCTGTGTGTTCATTTATGGCTGCCACCTGCATTAGGGCAGCTGAGTTCTCCATTCACTGAAAACACACTGCTCTCCAATTTGTAATTAGCACATTTGCATACTTCTGCGTAGACAATTTATCAACTTATAAAGTGATTAAAGGTCTGTGCCAGATAAGCATCCTCAAAGACCACCAAGGAGCCAATTCCCATGCAAGCACAGTTGAGTCGTTTATTGCAAGGTCAAGCCTGGACTCACAACGTCACCTACACAGCGGATTGAGAGTCCCGGCCCTTCATCTAGCGGGTTTTTAAAGGCAAAATCAATGAGGTCAAGCCTGGTCATGCGTAGGTGACCAATGGGATTGTAACACACACAAAGGATTGTACAGTCATACCAGACCACACACAGTGAGTTTGTAATGGCTGTTTAAACCAGCTATCACCTTGGTTTAAAACGACATACAAGGGCCTGGGAAGGTGGCTCAGTGGTAGAGCGCTTGCCTTGCATGGGTGAGGCCCTGGGTTTGATTCCTCAGCACCACATAAGCAAAAAGAATAAAACCGGAAGTGGCGCTGTGGCTCAAGTGGTAGAGTGCAGCCTTGAGCTGAAGAGCTGAGGGACAGTGCCCAGGCACAGAGTTCAGGCCCACCACCAGACCCCCCCCCCCCCAAAAAAAAAGAAAATGGCACACAAATTTAGTGAGTAAGGCGAGGTCTACCTTTTGGTGGGCAAAAGGTGGAGTTTACCATAAGCATCTGTTTTATGGATCAGTCTTTAACTCAACAATCAAGAGTGGATTAGGTTGTTAAGGGGAGGGAGAGAAGATGCATTTTTTTTTTTCCATTCCAGAAACTAGGACCATCAAGTCTAAAATCCCTAAAACAAAGGCAAAGCTCAAAATGAATCACACCAGCTTGGGCCCCATGTCCAGGTCCACTTCAATTAAAGGTAAACAATCTCCTTAATTTTCTCATTTCTCCGGTGCTTTTTGTTTCCTTCCCAATTCTCCTCTAGCCAACAGTTTGGTTCCTGAAGTGACTTTAGTTTTTTGTTTTGTTTTGTTTTAATGAGATACACAGAAGTTTTGCAGCCTTTCAGGATTTTCCTCAAACTTTTTTTTTCCTTTTGCAGAGAAGCTGGGTTTGGAGGTGGAGGCAGGAGTTAGGAGGTTGGCTTCTTCTGCAGCCTTCTTCCAGAGCACCGGAGAGCTAAAATTCCAAGGACAAATACCTTTAGGCTGCTCTTAGGTATTTAGTTAAGGTAGGCACTTCATACATGGCTGCTGGACACTGCCTTCAATTAGATGGAACAGTAATTTGGTAAATGGTTCATCTCTGTCAGATATCTTTCTGGAAAGGTTCTGAGGTTTTTTGTTTTTATTTTTACATTTTTCTGCCATTTTGTGTTTATGTTTTAAATCTTTTGTTATTATAAAATGATGTACAGAGGGTGTACAGTTACATAAATCAGGTACATTGCTTTGGACAATGGCACCCCTTCCCTCATTCTCTCCCTGTTTTCCTTTCCCATCTCTATCCATAAGTTGTACAACTCATTTTCAACATATTGTCTAGTAAGTACTACTGCTGCATTTATTCACCCTTTGTCCCTCCATTTCTGGGCCTCCCCCTACACTCTCAAAGACATATAACTGAACAAGCAAGCCATTGAAATTAATTTGAATACAACCCAATGTGAAAATATTATTGGCTATGTAATCAATATAAAATCAAGGTATTTTTATATTGTTTTTCATACTTAGTCTCCAAAATGTATACTTAAACAACACATGTCAATTTAAATGCGATTTTCATTTGACATACTTAATCTGTATTTACACTTTGTA